ATGTACTTATAGACAGCACAGTGTATAGCGAAGCTCGTAAAATCAAAACTCCATTCTTTGTGAAAAATTANAAACTTTATTCAGTGGTTTTTGAGTTTAGTCCGAACAACGAAAACGACTATCATTTTATGCAAATAGGTATGTACTTATAGATAGCACAGTGTATAGCGAAGCTCGTAAAATCAAAACTCCATTCTTTGTGAAAAATTAAAAAAACATTCTTCAAAATTTTCACATAAATTTTACCTTTTACTAAAAATTAAAAACNAATAGGTATGTACTTATAGATAGCACAGTGTATAGCGAAGCTCGTAAAATCAAAACTCCATTCTTTGTGAAAAATTAAAAAAACATTCTTCAAAATTTTCACATAAATTTTACCTTTTACTAAAAATTAAAAACAAAGTTCCAATAGTTCAAGGGGATTTAAGTATCTAGGAGAAAATGGTTCCCAATCGAATGATACTTGCGCGTTTACGTAAATGTATATCGATCCAGCCTTTCCTATAATTATCACTTTTCGCCATAAGTACGGTATTGATAACATATGAACATATGTATCGCATTTCAGAACATTAGCGTAAGCGGTTCCAGAGATAAGCTATATGAGAAGTTCAGTTTGTACCTTCCACGCCCCTTTTTCCAATGCGTTCGCAATATATGCATCAGTGCAAAGTTTCAGTTGCCCAGCGTTATTGGTTTTAGAGATATATTGGTTTTTTACGTTTTAGTCTATTTAAGAGTTTTAGGAATATCCCAAGCTACATACCGACTACATTTTTGGCCGGCATATTTATTTTCAAGGTGATGGCATAAATAAATATAAACTAAATCGGTGCAGCCGTTAAGTAGTTTAGTGAAATACATTGTACAGAGAACTGCATGAAATTGTAAAGCGTGACGTCTCAGATTTCTTAATTTTTTGGCAGCAACAACAAAAAGTTCGCCGGGGCCCGAAATATGGTAATATGTAGTACTAGGTTCCAGCATAAGAACATCCACCAAGCTACATGGCTGTCTCCAGATCGAAAAACGAGAAACCAAATCGATCATGTTGTGATAGACGGAAGGCATGCTTCAAGCGTTTTGGACGTACGTACACTCCGAGGGCCAAACATCGACTCGGACCACTATCTTGTTGTAGCCAAGATACGCACCCGCCTCTGTGCAGCAAAAAATGTGCGCCCAACAATGCAAGGAAAGCTTAACGTCGAAAAGCTGCAATCACAACAGACGGCCAATTTATTCGCCACTCGACTCACACACCTGCTCTCTGAGAGCACTCTTCAACAATCC